TTCACAAACAGCTTCAGACAAGACGAAGACGAAGCCCCATTGTCTTCTAAATCCTTCTTTAAACCAATTGGAGATTTGAATTCCTTCACCGGAGATTGAATTGATACTCCTTTACCTTTGCCAAGAATAATAAGAGATTTCTTCAGCTTCACTTCTGAAGGCTCATTAATTTTTAGAATACCAGATCTTTGCCTTCTAGACAATTCATCTTCACGAACAGGGATTTGAATTTTGTCGTCAAGAGGAATCCGGCGATCGGCGGCGAACGCCGCGTCGATCCCCATCAACGGAAAAAAAAAACTGCAACAAAAAGCGGAACGTTAAAATTTAAATTTTAGGAAAGGAAACTTTCAAAATCCGAGACCTTTTCTCACTACCTTCTCTCACTACCTTCTCTCATTACTGAGAAGGTAGACAATCCGCAACAAAAAGTCGAGTTGCATACCTTGCTGAGCTAGAATGAGCGTCGAGTTCCATGCCTTGCCCAATAGGATGAAATCGATGGAGAAAGCGATGGATTCGAATGGAGTAGACAATCCTCGCACGAATTAATGGAAGACGCAATACGGAGCTTAACGGAGTGTTATAAAAGATGAAAATAAGAGTTTTAGGTGTTATATTAGTAAATATAGTAGTTTGAGTGTTATATATGTATTTTGAATTGTTTTAAGTGTTATGTATGTAAAAATCCCTTTTTTGTGGAGGTAAGTGGTCAATATCTACTAACTTATTTTATTTGGCATAATTTTAATTGTCTTTTTTATTATGATATGACATACTAAGATAAATATTTCTAATTAATATAATATGTAAATATTAAAAAAATGAAAATTTAATACTTAAACGTTAAATCTTGTCTTTTTGCGGGCTAGAATATACACGACGATAGAGTTAAAAAATTTTCATCTCAACGTTGCACGGATATCTAGCACACAAACAAAAGATGAAAAAACACCAGGATTTTTATATGGAAAACTCTGAAAAGGGAAAAACCATGGGTCCACTCCCAATTGAAAGAATTTCACAAGTGTCTGCTTAGGTTACAATTGTCTGACTCGTCCCTAAAATTTAGGATGATCATATTACAATGATCAACTTTCGAGTTAAAATCAGTTACAAATGGATATCAGAATGATGGTGTCAGTTAGTGTTCAGATAGAAAATTGGCATCAGCCGGATGTCAGACAGAGTTCTAGCGTCACTTGGAGGTTGGGCGGAACTCTGGCATCACTTGGAGGTCGGGCGGAACTTCTGCATCACTTGGAGGTCGGGCGGAACTCTGACGTCACTTGAAGGTCTAGCGGAACTCCGACGTCATTTGGAGTTTGAGTGGAACTCCGTCGGCGGTTGATGAGCTTCTTCTTTTTTTTCCTTTTCTTCCTTTTCTTCCTTTTCTTCTTCCTTCTCTTTTTTTCTTCTCTTGTCTTCTTCTCTTCTTTCTTGGGTCCCCCCTCAAGAGAAATGAGAGGACTATTTATAATTTTCTGAAAGTGGCATGACCAATAATTAGGAAGAAGATCATGGATAAATTGGGAGTGGTTTGAGTGGATGGCCAATGTTAAATCCCTTGATCATGGACCATTTATCAGTCATTTAAATGGTCTAATGATATCAAAATTCGACGATACTGGGCTCGTTGGATTCTTCTGGTCGAGCCGCTCAATTCGACTATAAGCACGTCATATTTAGAAACTATTCAGTAATCCAGATTATGGATTTAACCTTCCAAATGTGCTTCATGCCTTTGATTTGGACTAGTTTGGGCTTGGATTGAGTTGAATTTGGTGTCGTTGGGTTCATATTTCCGAGACATTCAGTTCGACTGTAAGTTTACTGAAATTAGACTTCAGATGATCCCAGATTTAATTTTGTGAAGCTTCCAATTTGATTGTTGCCTCGATATTCATGCCCAATAATTTTTTGATCATATATCATGTGTATTTATGTATTTAACAAATTCTATTTTTTGCCAACATGCAACTAAAAATTTTACAATATGAAGCACAACATTCTTAGCTCTTCCGCCATTTCCCACTTCAGTGTGTGGTTTGTGATATTCTCCTTTGTGTTGACAAAAGAATGACGAATTGTCCCTGCTGCTGACTTTCTTATTTTTACCTAATTTAAGTAGTAAAAAAATGCGTTTTTGAGATTTATATCTGCTATATATTTATGAGGAAATGATAAATTCAAAACGGCGGCTAGGGTTTCCTGCTCCCGTCTGTTTTTCTCTTCTTTTCCCCTTCAACCTCCTTCCCTCTGGCGATGCTGGAGGGAACTTCTTCTCCTCCTTACTTGGAAGCCGCTCTCCATGCTTCTGAGTTCCCTCCGCTTGTTAATTCTCCTGGTGGAAAGGTCTATGCCTTAACCAAGAGCTGGAATAAAGTGTTTGTCCCAGGGAACACTTCTTCAAACTCCCTCAAGTTTTCTCATTTTCCTTTAGAACCGGACATCATCCCGTTTTCTGGAGATTCCTTGGCCAATGGAGGTGAAGACTGGAAGCTCTGTCTGGTTGGTTACTCCATTTGAAGACGCCCCTATTATGAAGCCCTGCTCGCAGCGGTCAAAAAAATGTGGAACCTGAAATGTTCTGTTCAGCTCCTGTCCCTAAATGATGGATTTTTTCTCTTCCGTTTCTCCTGTGCTGAAGACTTCGAATCGGTTTGGACCAGAGGAGCTTGGTTCATTTTGGGAAAACCTTTTGTTCTCCAAAAGTGGCACCCGAAATTCATACCTCAGAGGGAAGACTTTGCGACGGTGCCGATCTGGGTGAAGATTCACAACCTTCCCCTTGCATGCTGGAACTCTGAGGGGATTTCTAGGATCGCTAGCAAGATAGGTATTCTGGTGGCTGCGGATAGCCTTACGGAGCTGAAAACCAAGTTAACTTATGCCCGGATTTGTGTGCTTGTTGACTGTCACGCCTCCTACCCTGAGGAGATTCATGTTTCGCTGGATGGGGAAGTGGTTAGCCTGAGAGTGCAATACGAATGGCGTCCTTTTCCTTGCCAGCACTGTAAGTCTTTAATGCACTTCTCTACTTCTTGCCCTAAAAAGCCAGAGAATGACTCTAATGATAAAGAGAAGGAAACTGGTAAGGAGCATATTTCTAACAGAGGTAGAAGTTCTAGCAGGAGACCTCCTTCTAGACCCCCCTCTAAACCAAAGCTCGTGGAGAATATGCCTCTATCTAATATCAATTCGCATGTTTCTGATATTGGGAATACTCAGGTCAGCCCTGTTATACAAAACCTCTCGTCCTCTATTGTAGGACATCCTCTCCAATATCAACCACATTCCCCCACCTCTATCAAAAACCCTTCTACTTCTGAAGACATTTCTATGGATCAATCTAGGATTTTTATTCCTGACACTGGGGTTTCTTTTAATTTGGGCATCCCTAATTTAAACTCCCCCAACGCTGCTGCTTCCTCGTCATCTACTAATATCCAATCGAAATCCACATCATTAGGGAAGAATTTTGTTTCTCCTAACAAGTTTGATGTTTTAAATTTCGAGGGGGAAGCAAGAGACCCCAATGACAATTCTGGGAATGATTATGATATTGCTGAGCAGGAGACTGCTGAAGAGGTGTGAAGGGGTAAAGCACAAAAAATTACTGATAAAGCTTTGCCGAGCTGAATTCCCAAAAATTCTAAAAAACCTGCAAGGGGTAAGCAGGGTAAAAAACTCCAACCAAAACAGAATTCCTGATGTCTTTTCCACTAATGGCTACGTGGAATATCAGGGGATTCAATAGACCTGATAAGGTTCTGTGCTGCAAGCGCCTTATTCAATCTTTTAAGCTTGACTTAGTTTGCATATTGGAGAATAGGATTCATTTGCAATCTCTGGCTGACCCGTTCTTTGATATATCTCATTCTCTTTTTTCTAATGAATCTAGTTGCAATAATTTTAACCTCTCTGCCTCGGGGAGGATCTGGGTGAAGTGGAATGCTTCTAAATTATCCTTCACCTCGGTTGTCATTACTGACCAATTAATCTCTGGTTTGATTTCTGTCTCTAATCAACCTCTTCTCCATCTTTCTGTTGTTTATGCTTCTAATAGCTTGTCTGACCGAAAAGATTTGTGGAACTCTCTCTCCCAAGTTGCTCCTCATAATCAATTTCCCTGGGCTATCATGGGGGATTTCAATTGCTGTAGATTTGCGTTGGAAAAGCTGGGTGGTTCTTCTTTAACTCATTCTGCTCTGAAAGATTTCAACGATTTTATCTTTCATAATGGGCTGGAGGATATTAACTCTGTTGGCTATAAATTTACCTGGTTTAATCAACGGGTAGACAATCCCACACACATAAAGCTGGACAGAGTGCTTGTGAATGATGGCTGGGTTAATCAATTCACTGAATCGTATTGCTCCTTTCAAAGCCCCTCTTGCTCAGATCATTGTCCAGTTATTTTGCATCCTGGGAGCTCCACTAAGGTCTATCATCGTTTTCTTTTCAAAAATTACTGGACTAAGATTGATTAATTCTAGTATTTGCTAATTGAGGGGTTCTCTAGGCCTTCTACTGGTAATCCTTTATCTAATCTTTGCCACACGCTTAGGTCTTTGAAATGTGGTATTAAAAAGGAAACATGTGCTTCTTCTAATAGCATCACTAGACATATTGATCTTTTACATCATAATCAAAGTTCTTTGCTGGAAGTTTTGTTGTCTGATCACAACAACCTGAATTTTAACTCTGCTTACAAAAAGTGTAATTTTGAATTAGCTAATTTTACCAGCCTTCAAGCATCTTGGATAATTCAAAGGGCTAAGGTGAATTGGCTAAAATTTGGGGAAGATTACTTGAAATTTATGTATGCTAAAATTAGGTCCCGCACAAGTAGTAAAAATTCAGTCATCAATTTGTTATCTAGTGATACTACTTCTAACTTAACTGAAGTTGTCTCTAAAATAATACAGTATTTTCAAGACTTATATAACCCAATTCTCCCTCAAAACTTGGCTGTAGAGTTTTTAACTAGTGGGGATATGGTCCCCAACTATTATCATCAATCTCTTAATGCCCCTACGTTGGATGAGGAAATTAAAGCTGCTGTTTTCATGGGTTGCTCTGATTCTGCTCCTGGACCCGACGGTTTCAATTTCCATTTCTATAAGTCTTCTTGGCACATAATTGGGTCGGTGGTTTGCAAAGCTATTAAATCTTTCTTTATTAAGTGTTATATGCCTAATTGTGTTAAGGCCACAGCTCTGGCTATCATCCCTAAACATAAAAATGCTGTCAATATCTCTGATTATAGGCCTATTGCTTTGTGTAATGTGGTTTATAAAATTATTGCCAAGGTAATTGCTGTTAGGCTTAAGCTGGTTATGAGCACCATTGTTAAAGACAATCAAGCTGGATTTCTTAAATCCAGAGTTTCCACTGATAACATATTACTAGCTTCTGATATTCTGTATCATGCGGGGAAAAGAGGTAAAGAGAAATTTTGTTGTGCTAAATTAGATATCAAGAAAGCTTTTGATTGTCTCTAGGGATTTCTTAATTGCTAGGCTAATTCAAAAAGAATTCCCTAGTCAGTTTATTAGCTGGATTAGAGCATGTATATTTGATGTTAATTTTTCAGTCCTTCTTAATGGTGCACTTGAGGGATACTTCCCTTCTACGGCTGGTCTCAGGCAGGGTTACCCCATGAGCCCTTATCTTTTCTATCTTGTTATGGATGCTTTTTCTAATCTCTTAGAGGAAAGGGGGTTCAAGGGGATCTCTTTTAAGGATTTCTCTTTAACCCATTTGCTTTATGCTGACGATGTCCTAATTTTTGGTGAAGCTTCTCTTGAAAACTGCAGCTTATTGGTTTCCATTCTTAAAAACTTTGCTACTGTATCTGGTCTTCATGTCAACTATGATAAGAGTGCTATTATGTTCCCTAAGCATCTGAACAATCATAGTGCTATATGCCAGGCTCTCTCCATTCATAACATTGCTAGCAAGATCACATATTTGGGTATTCCACTTTCTTTTCACAGACTTAAAATTGAAGATTATTTGCCTCTGCTGGATAATCTTAACAGAAAGTTTAGTGGTTGGAAGGCACACCTCTTGTCCTTAGCTGGCAGATTACAATACCTGAAATTTACGATCCAAAATACCATAGCATACTAGATACGGGGTGCCATTTTGCCCAAAGCTATTCATAAATTTTTTAGGAAAACTAGTTCTCGGTTTTTATTCTATGGGGATGTTAATTCTAACAAGAAACTTTATATGATAGCTTGGGACAAAGTTTGTCTGCCTTTTTCTAAAGGCGGTTTGGGTATTTCTTCTATTCCTGCCTTGCAATTCTCTTTCAACTGCTCTCTGATTTTGAGATTGTATAATAGTTCGTCCCCTTTATCTTCATGGCTGCTTAATAAATATTGCTCTCCTTGGAGGCCTCCTGCGGCTGTTGCTTCAAATTTATGGAAATCTATATGCTTTACTGCTAATTCGGCTAAGCATTGCTTTAAATTTAGAATTACCAAATCTGCTCCTATATCTGTGCAATGGGATCATTGGTACAATAACCGTAATTTGGCTGAATTTGGTTGCTCCTCTTGGGATCATATTCCTGATATTGCTTTAAATACGATTATCTCTGATGATGTCTGGATCTTGCCTGATTCTTTTCCAACATTTTTGAAAGATTTGTTTGCGGGTATAAATGATATTGGTGAAGAGGGTCCCTGTCTGCTATGGTATGATAAGAAGAACTACGACTTTAAAAATTTCTTGCTGGAATTTCATTCTGAGCATCCTAACTGCTATTGGCATAGGATGATTTGGCACAAAAGAAAGGCTTTAAAATTTTCGGTTTATGCCTGGCTTGCATTGACTGGGGGTCTTAAAACAGCTGATGCTCTTCGTTTGAGAAATATTTATGTCCCGAGTGTTTGCCGTTTATGCCACATGTTTGAGGAATCAGTTTCCCATATCTTTTTTGAATGTTCTTACTCCTTTGCTATCTTGGGAAAATTATTACTTGGGATGAACAATTTCCTGCTTAGGCCTAATATTCTACAGGTTTTTGATTGGTTAAATGGGCAGTATAATGGGAATTCTGAGTTGTTAACTTTTTATAAGTTGGTGGTATCCTCTGTGATTTATTTCATTTGGAAAGAGAGGAATGACAGAACTTTTGGGAACAAATCGTCATGCCACACTTCGTTACTTTTTTTGCATTAGAAGGGTCTTGATTGAAAAGATTGTGAAATGGAAAAATGCTATGGAATATCTGGAAAGGCTGTAGTCTCACCGCTTGAGCTTATTATGCTGCTATGGCTGCTGACCCGTGAATATTCAGATATGCCCATCTGGACAATGATGAAGCTCCCCGAACTTTCCCTTGGATGGTTCATGGGAGGCCATGGGAAACCAGGGATGGGTATGATCTACCTACTGGTTTCTATTATTCTGAGTCCAGATTATCATGGGCATGGGAGCTCTTCTTTATGTTTTTGGCTGGGGAATATCATACTGCTTTGTGGACATTCTAATCCCTTATCTACATGATGCTGCTGACGCCCAGAATTGGTTGTGATCATTTTGTCTTCTAGCTTTTGTTTTCAATTTCTTTCCAGCTGTCGGTTACCTTCTACCACGTTTTGTTAACTCATGGGGTTTGCTATTATTGTACTGGGTGGTTACTAGGGGGTATAGTTGAGGTTATTCTCTTTTTTGGCTTACATAAGTTTTTGTTGTTGCTTATGTAGGCAGCTTTTTACTTGTATTTTTCTTTACTTGTAATCTCTTCTTTTATAGTAATAGATGGGCTTCTGCCCCAAATTTTCCAAAAAAAAAAAATCGAAATGCGGTGTTAATTATCAATCATTCCCCAATTTATACAGAAAAAAACTATTTCTTTCTCCTTCAGTGCAGCTCTATAAATTCGTGGAATGCGTAGATTTCATCTGTCTCAATTACTTCAAAATTGATCGACACCTGTAATGTATGTTATAACTGGAAATCAATTAGAATGCAGACGGAGAAGGTCATATTAGCTTAATGGAGTAGAAATAAGTGATAGAGTTGAAAATATTTTAAAAATAAATAATAAATTATTTAATAATAAAAATAAACGTTAATTATATAAATAAATATATTTTAAGTCTTCTATAAAAAGCCCCCCCCAAAAAATAAAATTCGGCTCAGCTACGTCCAGATTCCGCACAGAATAATTTTTTGCAAGATAGCCTTTCATCTAATTATCTCCTTTACCAAAAATAAAAATATTTTTAAATTAAAAAACATAGGAAGATCTAATAACTAAGCATATTAGCAACAGATAAATGGCTCTCCACCTTGATATGGACTCATACCTAACATTACAATTCAGATTCATCCATCCAACGCAGATTAGCGCACGTTAAACGCGCTACATTTCTCTATCAAGACTGCGGTTGGCATATGGGGAGCTCGTTGGCCATATCACATAGTGGATAGAAAAAGCATTCTTCTTTTTTAACAGTCACTGAAAACGAACACGACGTTTCATCAAACAGGCGGCAGCACCGCCGCTGCCTGAACATCCCCAGCTGCTGCGGACACCTGATTTCTCCCCTCTCCAACAGCCACCCTCGCTCTACACACCCACCTCGCCGCAACTTCCCCATATTCATACAAATTCATCACAATGTGAACGGCTATCCCCGCAATTATCCCATTCGCAATCGAAAATGTCAGCGGCATCAATATCATCGTCAGAAACGCTGGCACCGCTTCCTTCGCCTCCCCCCACTCAATCTCCTTAACCAACTTCATCATCATCATCCCCACCATCACAAGCGCTGGCCCAACTGCCCAATTCGGCACGCTCGTCAACACCGGCGTGAAGAATATCGCCGCCACAAAGCACACCGCTGTTGCCACAGACGTTAACCCTGTTCTTCCCCCTTCCTTTATCCCTGCCGTCGACTCTATGTACGTAGTCATCGTCGTCGTCCCCATTGCGGCACCCACGATCGTGGACCCAGCGTCAACCAAAAACGCATTGTACTCCCCTTCGAACCCCCCTTTTTCGTCCGCGAATCCCGCGTACTCGGCCATCGAGTACATAGACCCTGTCGTGTCGAGAATGTCAACATACAGAAGGGTGAGCAGCGGGACCAAAGCTGCCCTGCTTTTCAGTCCTTTGAAATCCACCATCCCAGCCGTGCGCTTTATTTTATGCAAATCGACCACGCGGCAGAAGTGGGCGTATGCCGCCTCCCCGGTGGGGGTAAGAGGGAAGATAGTGACTTGGGTCCTACGGAACCATGAAACTACGGTGACGAATACGATGCTGTAAATCATCCCACCCTTTAGCCCGCGTGCAAGGCAGAAGGCGGCGAGCACGAACCCTGCGGCACCGAGCCAGAAGGCGGGACGCTCGAGCGCGCCAGCGGAGAGAGTCACGAGGGTTGATACACTGGGCCCTACAAGCCCGACGCCCTGGCCAGCCTGGAGACCAGTGAAGGCTAGGAAAATGCCAATTCCCGCTGCTGAGGCTAGGCGTATGCCTCGCGGGATCAGGCGGGAGAGGCGGCCACGGAGGCCGAGGGCAGAGATGGTGAGGAAGAGCACGCCTTCGAGCATGACGGCTGCAAGCGCTGCACCGTAGGTGAGCGGGCCGGTGCCGTGAAAGCCGACCATGTTGAAGGTGAAAAATGCGTTGGCGCCCATTCCGGGGGCGAGGGCGAGGGGAAGATTCGCGAAGACACCCATGGCAATGGAACCGATGGCGGCGGCAGCGGCAGTCGCGACAACGAGGTCGCTTTTGGTTTCCGCGAGGCAGCGATCATAGCCCGGGTTGCGCTGGAGGCGGCAGTCCGGGATTGGGCCGGGTTGGATATGCGGGTCAGCGGTGCAGTCATGGATAGTGCACGGCCCACCTGAGTCGGTGAGGATAGAGGAGTTGACGGAGATGATGTAAGCCATGGTGAGGAAGGTAGCGAGGCCGGCACGAAGCTCTTTAGTGAACGTCGTTTTTCTGGCCTCGAGCTTGAAATAGCAGCCCACCCGGCTCTGTGATATAGTTCGGTTCAGGCGGCTTTCACCGCACTGCCACGCCTCCGCCAATCTCGAGCAAGTTCCCTTCCCCATTTCGCTACACTCTTGCGCTCCCTATTCATTTCCCTTGAATGAAAGGATTTCAGGTTAGCAGTCTTATAGATCGTGGGAAAAATTTTTGAAAGCAACTGTTACGCTGAATTTCTTCAATTAATTAATTTATGGGGTCCGCTGAGGAGCATTTGCCATAATAACAACATAAATAGTTGCTAGTATGGTGGTTACATTACACAGTTGAGTATTGGGTCAATAGAAGGTCAAATTATTAGGCACAAAATTTGAATATGATCCGGAGATTAATAAAAAAGTGTCACATCACTTTAAAAATATATCACGCTCGATACTGAACTCGGTACCAAACGATTCTCCTATGTGATGTCTGCACAGAATAATCTCTGCAATAGAATGCTTTCATGTGCTACTGTATCTTAAAAAAAAAATATGGCATTTAAAAAAAAGTAATTAATGTTGATTGTCTAATTATTATCTTACTAATATATACTATCTTAACCTTGACATTATAATAATATTAAGGAAAAGTTGTGATATAACATATATCTATGTTATATATATTATAAACGAGGCTTGGGTTTTTTTTAAATATAATCTTAACCTTTCAATTACTTTATTTTAATGAATTGAGAATTTTAATAATATTAAATGTTTTATTAATCTCAAATCAACTTTATTAATTACTTTAAATTTTATTTCACTTGTGGTCTTTCTACTTCCATTCTATCTATGCTTTTTCATCTATCCCATAATAATCTTGAATTCCTATTATTTTATGTTATATCTTCAACTATCATAACCTTTAGGTCAAGTAAAATAGCCCTCTGTAAACACATTGATGAATGAAATAGTCTCTTCGAATATCTTTCGATATTAGGGCTTCTCAATATTAGATTTCAATGTTAGGGCTTCTCATTTGATTATTCTACCTTTACTCTTGGTCTCTTCAACTACCGGTGTATACTAAGCTATTTTTATTATTACATCTCTTAAATATGGGGTCAGCTGTTTCATGTGTAAAATAACAAAGCCCATATTGCATATGCTTTGAGATAATCTCGTTCCTCAGTAGGAGGAATGTCAGACGTCGGCCTTGCCGATCAACTACACTTTTCTATTGCATTTGACCGAATTTTAAAGTTGGGCAAGCCCAATGCCTTCATCATTGTTTCCATACAGCTTCACATTGACACTAATTTTGCCTAAAATCTTTATGATTTTTTCAAACAAATCCCTCTTGCAGAACAATGAGGGATTTTGTCAATATGCAATAAACACACACTAACCTATTATGATTTCTATTTGAAGTTTTTTTTTTTTTTTTCTACATTTGTAGTGTTTATTATATATACCTAGGCTAAATATTTCATAAACACAACATATGAAGATAGGATGAAATGCAACTATCAACAAACTAAAGTGCCTAAAAGAACATGTTAAACATAATAATTAAGCTCACAAAGAACTTAAAAATATTGTTATTTTATGTTTTAAAAAACTGACATTTGTTATATACTAAAAATTCAGGAATTAGTATAGGATGCCAAGAGCATATCATAACACCGTTCCAGACTTGGATCAAATTCTCCACTAGCGGAGATAAACACATGAACAACGCACAGGTACGAAAGACCACCACTTGAAGGAAATTCAAGATACATAACGAGGACGCCTCGTAATATTTAGGCCAAAATTCTCTGTTTATTAAAATTGAACACTGCCTATATGTAGCAATCCTGAAAGACAAGGCTTAATAAAAATAAAAACAGAGACAAGCTAAAACCAATAAATACACAAATTAATAAAAGAAAATAAAATGACTTGCTAACTAGCTGCTTCGCCACTTAGCAAGCCTAGCTCCGGTGTCATTCTCCCAGGGTTGGAGGTGCGTCTGGCTCATAGTATGGACTTAGATCGGCGACATTAAAAGTGGTTGAAATGTTGTAATCATCGGGTAGATCGATCTGATAGGTGTTGTCATTTATCTTCCTTATTATCCAAAAAGGGCCGTCAGCTCTTGGTTTAAGTTTGCTGAAAGATCGCAGAGGGAAACATTCCTCTCTATGGTGTATCCAAACAAGGTCCCACTCTTGGAATTGTTGGGCTTTTCATATTTTATTGCCCTATTTTTAATATTTGGAATTGTGTTTATGTATCATGTCTTGCACTTGTTTGTGCAATTGTTAAATTTCTTTGCTACGGTGTTCCCTGTCCATGTTGTATGTGGTTGCAGACAATTGTGGGATTAAATCAATTGGTGTTAATGGATTTTCTCCATATACTATTTCAAAAGGACTCTATTGTGTAGAACGATTGACTGATCAATTAAAAGCAACAAATCCTTTTGATTATGGAGAATGCTTATGGGAAGATGGAGTTGTTAAACTTAATAAACAAAAAGAGATAGAAAATACCAACAGATTGATGAAATCACTGGTAGTAAAAGTATTTAGAGAATTTGTGCCTTTTCATGTTATTGGTATTGAGCTAAGGAGACAATGGTCTCAATTTGGAAAGTTCCATATTACTCTGCTTGGAGTAGGATTGGTCTTATGTGCCTTTGAAGACCCAATTGCTATTGATTCAGTGCTATCTAGTGGACCCTGTTATGTGAATTGGCATATCATTAGCTTAGACAAATGCTCTCCTTCATTTCAGCCTAATTCTCTAAAAGGTTTGACGGCTCCGGTGTGGATCAGAATGCCAAACCTCCCTTTGCATTGTTGGGATGAAGTGAATGCGTGTAGAATCGCTTCAATAGTTGGGACCCCATATTTAGTTGATGAAAATATGTTTCAATGGGAGAGAAGGGAATTTGCCAGGGTATGTGTGAAGATAAAGCTTGAAAATAAGCTTCCCTTAGGAGTATGGGTGAAAGAAAATTCCGGCAAATTCTACCAAAAAATTGTGAATGAAAGGATTGGTGAACTCTGTTTTGGTTGTGGCAAAATAGGACATATGAAGAATAGCTGTCCAGAAACTGTTGAAGTATTAAAGCCGGGAGCCTATCATTCAAATGAATCTATCATTCAAATGAATATGTTCAAGGTTTGGTGGCCAAAGCTAAGCCTGTTTCAAAGACAGGTAACACAGTTGAAGAAGTAAAAGAGACGGATGAAGAAGGATATGGTTCCTAGATCCATGTAGATTACTGGAGAAAAAGAGTTAAAAATCAGAAATTCAAAAATACCTGGGTCAGGCCAGGGTGGAAAGAGTCAAAAAGACTATGGAAATAAAAGATAAACAAAAACATGGCAACAAACAAAGTCTGGATGCTTCAAGTAATGGTGAAGTAAATCAAATCAAAATCCAATGGTGGTTTCTAAATCTCGGGAGGAAGAATTACAACAAGATTCAACTTCTACTCCATCTCAGATAGGGTCGGTTGATATGCCTGTAAAAGGAGGAGCTAATGTTAATAATTATATTAACATTAATAATCAATTTGATCTGCTGAATCAAATTCCTGAAGACAATGATATGTTGAAAAAGAATGAAATGGAAAACTTTACAGCTCCTATTAATATTGAAGAAGATGCTGCCATTGATAAGGGGGAGGTAGAAGAGGAGAAATCTCAAATGAACATCTCAGGTGATACTCTTGTAACTTCAAAGAAGAAAGGTATGAAGAACCTTAAAGGTTTGGGTCCAATTAAATTAATTCCAAGGAATAGAAGGATGGAAGGTGAGCTGAAGGAGAACTTGGGGAAATCTTCCCCTAATATTCAATGAATTATTCCATAGGCTTTTGGAATTGTGGGGGAGAAAAAAAAAGAAAAGCTTCCCTTTATTTAAAAGAATTTACTAAGGAGTATGGGGTTTTCTTTGTCAGGTTGCTTGAAACCAAGTTGGCTTTTATTAATAGAAGGGATGTTAATCTTATGATAGGTATGGATTGGGATTTCTTTTATGTCCCATCTGAAGGCTTATCTGGTGGAATCATGGTGATATGGAAAAAGAATATAGCTTCATTTAAAGCTATAGAATTCTCTACCCAATTCGTGATTGGAGAATTAGAAGTTCCTAACAATGGGAAATGGAAGATTGCAACAGTGTATGGAAGTAGGGATAGCTATAGAAGAAGAGCTCTTTGGGAAAGATTGGAGCAGCATATGTTTAAAGAAGATCTTATGGTAGTTGGTGGTGACTTCAATTGCTTCCTATCAAGGGATGAGAAGAAGGGAGGAAGGGAGTATGCTTATTCACTCGGTCCTAAGGAGATGAAAGCATTTATCACTTGCAATGATCTACATGAAGTAGAGAGTATTGGGCCCAAGTTTACTTGGTGTAATAATAAGAAAGGATCTGAAAAAATCCTTGAAAAGTTGGATACGTGTCTTCTCAATTCAGTAGCCATTAATTCGTCTCATCAGATGGTGGTGAGGCACTTGATGAGAATTGGTTTGGATCATAGTCCAGTTTTGTTGAATTTACTAAAATTCAATAAATCAAGTGATAAACAGATTAAATTTGAAGAGATTTGGGCATCAATTCCAGGATCTTTGGGAATTGTAAAGAAGGCTTGGGGGAGAAAAGTTAGTGGGGATCCTCCTCACATTTTGAACCAGAAAATGGATAGAGCTCTAAAAGCTTTATTCTATTAGAGTAAAGCAAAATATGAGGAGTTGAATCAATTAAAAGAGGAGATGAAAATTCAGATCTTGGAGCTGCAGACCAAGGAAGTTGAATGCGGGCATCTGTCTGAAGATGAAGCTTGGAAATTGAAGGTGAAGACGGATAGTTTAAATTCTATCTTTAGCTCGTATTTGTACATGGTGGAGGCAGCGAGCAAAAGTAAAATGGCTGAAGGAAGGAGATGCAAACACTGGTTTTTTTCATGCCTATACTATTGCAAGAAGGAATATGAATTTTATTCATAGGATAAAAGATGAAAATGAGTTAATAGTGGAAGATCAAAATCAGGTGGAAAACATTCTCAATAATTAATTCAAAAATAAATGGAACGAAAGGGAGTGCTCTTTGATGGGTTGGCCTGAACCGTGGAGGACATTAAGGGAAGA